GGATGGATAGACAGACAGATGCGGATGGGTGGGGATGCACTACATGCGTCGATTGGGTAAGTTCGTGTCTGTGGTTGGCCTATTGAAATGCCTGGCTGTCTCGTCGCTGGCTCTCTTGCTTGTCACCCTCTGTCGTCAGTGAATGTTGCTGTTCACGTCCATCTGTCTACCTGCCTGTCTGTCTGCCGGTGGATCTGTGTGTCCAACCCACTCACCCGTCGGCTAACAGGCTACTAGTACTGGCGGTGGCCTCTTATAACCTCGCCCTCTTGCTTGCATGCGATGTGCACCTATGTGTTCTGTCGGTCGGCTCCCTCCATTGCTGCTTGTGCTTTCCGTCTGTGTTTGATGTTGTTTTTGTTTGCCAGATTCTCTGTTTGTGCTCGTGTTATGCGATGTGTGGATGGATGGATTGGTGTGGGGCGCAGGGTATATACACATGGCACAGGGACGGGGAGTGAGGGGTACGATTCTCGTTTCCTTACTTACACACGCATGTATACACACACATCCACGGATCACAATTATGGCTACTGGCTGCTGGTAACTCGCCTGGTCGTGTATTGCATGGCAGTGGCAGTTTTTCGCTGCATGCATACACACATACATGCACACATACATACATACATGCAAGGGATGATGCGATGCCGGTCACAGGCAATGATACACGCATACGATTCGCCGCAAGCCACGATCCGGTCGTATGCGTGTATGTCTGTGTGTATGTATGACGATGGATGGATGGCTGCTTGCATGCCAGATACATACACACATACAGATGTCACTGTATTGCTGCATGCACATCCATAATTCACGATGGGGTAATTGTCTTGCCACGTGCACACACACATTCCATTCACAGAGAAAGGGAAGGGGAGAAAAGTCAGGGAGGGAGAGAGCATGCACATACGCTTGCCATGGCTTGCTTTCAACGGTGAGTGGTAACCTTTTCTAGCTTCCCCCGATCATTGGGTCAGATATGACGGGAATGGAGGTTTTGAATACACACACACACACACACGCACAGAGGGTTTTTTCTTATCCACTTTGGCTGTTGTGTCGGTTACCCCTATCCCACCTTTGCATGGATGCGTGCCCCCAGCCCACCTACTGATCAATGACTGATTTCGTGCCACTACATATCACACACACACACACACACACAGACAAGAGAGAGAGAGCGATGGGAGGGGGGCGAGAGGGTCTATGGCGGCCTTTGCCTTATCGTTTTTCTCCGTCCTATGGCATCATCGCATCGCACCATGTCACTTCGCTTGTGTCTTCCTCCCTTCCTTCCCGCCTGTCTACTTGCCATGACACCAATCCCTTTAGTGATTGATCGGAGAGAGAGAGAGAGAGAGAGAGACATCCTCTATCGCTCTGTCACGCTGCATGCGTCTCTGACTGAGCCGAGCTAAGCTCCCTGGCCTAATTTCCTGCGTGCATTCTGTCTTCGGTCTTCGGTCGGTTCGTGCGTGCGTGTGTGCGTCCTTACTCTCTGCCGATGGCAGAGGAGACGCAGGGAAGACGGGAGGGAGGGAGGGAGGGAGGAAGGGATAGGTCAGTCGATGGATCCTGCCTGTGCGGAGTGCGACGTACACGACGTGACGTGGTAGCTACGGCGTGGCGTGGGGAGCGGCCGCCATTTAGTGCATCGCATCACATGGAGCATTGCATTGCCTGCACAAGCCAAGGCCGATGGATAGGTGAGTGACATTCGTGATTGTTGTTGTCGTAGCCCAGCACCCCATTGTTTTTGTTCGCAGCACTGGGGTCTCTCTCTGCGCGCCCGATTGTCCGTGGTGGTCATGACTGGCTGTAAGTCTTTTTCGGATCTGTATGGTGTGTGCATGTGTGGATGAATGAATTCGATGTCATTTTATGACGAGAAGGGTGCGTTCTTGGTGTATTCTTGCCAGATGGATGTATGCATGTCTCTGTGTCTGTGTCTTTTAATTCTCTGTAAGAAACACGCCCTTCCCGCTTTCCTCTTTTGCTCTCTTGGTCGACGGTTGTTTTTGCTCGTCCATGCGGTCCACAAATGCGCCTGTGTCCTCCCTGTCTGCCTGTCTGCCTGTCTGCCTGTGAGCCTTTTCTTTTTCCTGTGGACACGCATATGCACGCATGGTATCACGTTCTTTGCTTTTCTACATGCTTTCTCCCCTCATTCTTTTCTCTCTATGATGCATCGTGCTATCTAGGTTTATTTTTCCCCGCCCCTATTCAGTCGCGGCCTTTCCCTTGTTCCCCTGCCGTCCGTTGTGGATGCCGTGCTCTTCCTCTTTCATGAATGTGTTGTGCTGCGTGCTGCTCTGCGATGGACTGTCCGCTTCGTTGGTGGTTTGTTGGCTCGCTTGCATGGTGTCTGTCTGCCTTGGGCGTGGACAGACGGACACCATGGAAGCGTACGTACGTCAGTTGAGAAGAAACGAGGGACGGGGGCGGCCATGTAAGAAATATCAAGAATGGATCTATCTGTCTGTCTGTCTGTCTGCCGGTCTGTCAATCGAGTGTTGGATGGGGGGGCTGGCGCGGCGCGCAGGAGGCTGCCGCGCACCTGCGCATGCACGCGTCGCCTTGGAGCGTGTGTGTGTGTGTGTACGATGAATGTCTCGGTACGCGCAACTTGCGCATGCACGTTTGGACTTGGAGTGAGTGTATGTGATGAATGTCTCTGTCTCTGTGCGCACACCTGCGCATGCACGCGTCGACTTGGAGTGTGTGTGTATAAGGAATGTCTCTGTGCGCACACTTGCGCACTCTTGCGCATGCACCTTTGGACTTGGAGTGTGTGTAGCTGATGAATGTCTCTGTGCGCATATCTGCGCATGCGCGCGTCGACTTGGATTGTCTGTGTATATGATGAATGTCTCTATGCGCATACCTGCGCATGCACGTTTGGACTTGGAGTGTGTGTATGTGATGAATGCACACTTTGCATACACGTGTCGGCTTGGACACCTGCGCATGCACGTTTGGACTTGGGGTGTGTATATAAGGAATGTCGCCCTGTGCAGGTGCATGCACGTTTGGGCTTGGAGGGCTGTGCATCTGATGAACGTCTCTGTACGCACACCTACACATGCGTACACCTACACATGCGCGTTTGGACTTGGAGTGTATGTATCTGATGAATGTCTCGGTATGCACACCTGCGCATGCACGCGTCGCCTTGGAGCGCGCGTGTGTGTGTGTGTGTGTGTATGATGAATGTCTCGGTACGCGCAACTTGGGCATGCACGTTTGGACTTGGAGTGAGTGTATGTGATGAATGTCTCTGTCTCTGTGCGCACACCTGCGCATGCACGCGTCGACTTGGAGCGCGCGCGCGTGTGTGTGTGTGTATATGATGAATGTCTCGGTCCGCGCAACTTGCGCATGCACGTTTGGACTTGGAGTGAGTGTATGTGATGAATGTCTCTGTCTCTGAGGCACACGTGCGACATGACGCGACACCTCACACACTGTCTTACTGAT